AAAAAAAAAAAAAAAGAGGGAGATGAGTTCACAAGGAACAAATGTTAAAGGTAGTATTTTAGTATTTACACAATTATAAAAGAAAATAAAATTTGCCAAAGCATACCTGTTCAACATTTTTAAAAACCAGTCGACCAAATGTGTTCACAAGACCTGCATCACGAGGAAGCAGTTGTTAATTATGCATGTCATAATTTAGTACTCTAAGGCTACAAAGACGATAATTACAAAAACAGCCAACCGACAATCTGAAGCTGCTTGTTTCAAGAAAGTGACTATATTTTAACTTATACATCATCATGAATTAGTTTATGTCGGCTGCAAAAAAGCTCGGATAAAACTCGTGTTGCAAAAAGATTTTGTGATTCGTAAAGATCTAAAGGTTGGTCCAGCTGAATATAGTACGTGATTCAGACAAACCATATTTTCACTGGACAGCAATTTCTAGATTCTGTTTGATTGAGGATCAAAGTTAAGATTTTCACAGGACCATTTAACAAACTGAGCATTTCGTGGGACAGAATTTGAGACTCAAACGTTACACGAGTAATTTGCAAATAGTGTACTTTGAAGGACCAGTTTACTATTGGCCAGCATTTCCAGTGTGACATTATTTCGGAGGAGAACATATAACTGAACAACCACGACATTTAATAATTTTCAGAGGGGAATAATAGTCAACTTTAAAAATAAGGAAGACATGTTATGTAGATGTATATCTTAAATTTTCCTATACCTTCACATGGAAAGGGCTCACTTCAAAATGTGAACATTTATCTGAGTTTGTTAGTAAATAATTGTAAAATGCAAAAACAACAAAAGCACATTAAAACTTCAAAAGAATAGCATTCATTGAGGATACATTTTTGCAATTTGAAAAGCCCCTAGTTGATATATAATAAAAAAAAATTAAATAAAAAAATAAAAAAACCAGCCACTGTTACCTTCAAAAGCACCAAGATGGCGGAAAAGATTGGTTGTGATTACTCCAGGATGAAGTGAATTTACAGTAATGTTTGTTCCATCTTTCTGTTAAAAATAAAATAAAATAAAATGAGCTACCTTGACTATTTCTCGACGGGAAATATAATCTATCTATCTATTGGCATGGTCATTCACTTGAAATTAGATCACTAAAATGTAAAAATATATCCATTAGTTCAGTCTAATTAACCATGGAAAAATAAAGCGTAGTTACCGCTCAAATTTACAGTGACTTCCTCGAGATATTAATATTATCATGGATATTGGTATTTAGAGAATAAAGAGTTTCCTCTTGAGTTACCCAAACCCAAACAAATATGAAGGGTTGAATTTACTTTAAAAAGCCGGTCGTCTTTGTAGTTACGCTGAACGTCACTGTATTTAATATTCATAATATAATATTTGTTTTCCAGCTGGGGGAGAAAACCCACACCATTCAAGCAACCAAGGAAAACAACATCATTCTGGCAGCGGATACTGTGCACGAAGTTGAGGCCTTCACTAATATGTAAGAACCTTGTGCGTTTGATCTATTGATAATGGTCTTTCCTAAAGTTGCATCTTTATCGTGTTGCGTTTCCTTCTAACATTAAGTACACTCTCAATCAAGGATTCCAGTGGAAATTCCAATGATGATCTAACAAAGAAGAGAAAGAGAAGGAACTGACAATCAATGTGGTTTACAACATGTTGAAAACCTCAAGAACAACCGGGGTTAGAAGAAGAAATTCATACAGAAGAAATTGGTGAAGAATATCAGGAGATACCAAAAGAGGGTAACTCAATGCAAGTATTGTCATATGGTGATAGCTTTACGGATGACCTTCAAAAAGAAATGAGAGAAAATCAAGACCTACATATCAATAAGTCAGTACTCATGCGCTTTTCCTTTGATCTAGATTTTTCTTGTTTCATTTCACTTGCATATATAATAAGACAAGATCACTAGGTAGAAATTTGGTCATTCTCTCTCCATGGTGGTCAGTTTCCATGAGCGTGGTTTCTGTAATATTAGGTTCCACATCAAATGTGTCCATGTTCAAGTTCCCCTGGGATGGTATTTTCTCTTTATTTTCCTTAATTCTTTCGTCGGGCTGACCATAACTAGCTAGTATATCTGTATTGACTGTGCTGATAATGCTGCAATAAGATATTTCCATTACTAAGGAAATACTTGATGGCACTGCTAGAGATCAAAACATTATCTTCTTATATTGTTTTCCAAGTTCCAACATAAACTCTTGGTTGATTTCCACTGTAAACAATCTAATATTTCTCCTCAAGTTCAAAAGTTCAAAGCCTAACTGTAATCATTATAATCATAGCTTACCAGTTGTCAGATTCAACCTTAATAATATTTCAGCGTATGGAGAGAATGACAAATTCCTACCTAGTGATCTTGTCTTATTATATATGCAAGTGAAATGAAACAAGAGAAACAAGAGAAGAAAAATCTAGATCAAAGGAAAAGCGGATGAGTACTGACTTATCGATGTGTAGGTTTTGATTTTCTCCCCTTTCTTTTTGAAGGTCATCCGTAAAGCTATCACCATATGGCAATACTTGCACTGAGTTACCCTCTTTTGGTATCTCCTGATATTCTTCACCAATTTCTTCTGTATGAATTTCTTCTAACCCCAATTCTTGAGTCTGGTTTTCAGCATGCTGTAAACCACATTAATTATCAGTTCCTTTTACACTTATTCCTTCCAGCTGCACCACATTGATTGTCACCACATTGATTGTCAGTTCCTTTTACACTTATTCCTTCCAGCTCTGCAGTTCACTATTTCTCTTCTTTGTTAGATCATCGTTAGAATTTCCACTGAAATCCTTGATTGAGAGTGAACCTAAACTCAACAAGATAAAGATGCAACTTTAGGAAAGACCCTTATCAATTGATCAAACAAACAAGGTTCTTACATATTAGTGAAGGCCTCAACCTTGTGCACACCAGAACAGTGTTGTTTAGGTAAAATGTAGAGTTGAATATACAAGCAACATAAAAATAGTGTGAAATTAATTAGTACCTTCAAACGTGTTGCTAGCTCGTTTGCATGCAGTATATTAGCGAGTTTTGATTGGCCATATGCACCCCATTTTCTGTATCTGCATGTAGGAAAGAAGTAATACACATATTACCGTAGATCAGCTTTTGTAAATGATAATATCACCCATATAGGTAGCGCGGGTAACTAAATTCACGTGGTTAAATACTTTTGAGCTTGTAAGTAATTTTAAGTACAACTACAAACACTACAATTGAGGCCAAAACTCAGTAGTTTTTCTTTAAACACTACACATATTACCATAAATCAGCAGTATTTCACAGATAAGCCACACGTTAGAACAAATATCAGTAGTTTTTCTTTAATAACTTTGAAAGTTCTTTTCCCTTTTTAGTTAGGCCAAAACTCAGAGGTAATTCATAGATAAGCCACATTTTCATCATTGGAAGAGTTAGCTGACTCCAGTGTAATGGTCACCATATCAAGTTAAATGGAAATAAGCATATTTATTTATGAATAGAGACACTGAGCAATTGAAAAGACAGACAATTAATCACAACATCCAATTCAAATAATGTGGTGAATAGCACGAAAAAAAAAAAAAACAAATACCCTTCCGGATCATTGAGTTTGTCAAAACGAATTCCTTCTTCATATGAAACTCGATGAGCTTCAGAGGAAACATTCACGATCCTCCCCTCTCTTTTTGTCTTGTGAGCTGTTTTTTTCATCGTGTCCAACAATAAATTTGTTAAAAGAAAATGTCCTGCAAGTAAGATAGAGAATAACTAATAGTGAGGATGGATGTCAAGCAAGCAGAGGCCAGACAGGCATTACGCTTAGCCTTTTTGCGCCATGATATATCTACGTGCTGCCAATTCAAATTTCCCATTGGTCTTATAGAATGGGGTTAAAGATGACGATCAGGGTATAGACAAATTATTAGCATCTATCTAAAACTAATTAAAATGTTTACTGCATTTAGTGAGAACATTAAGTAAATATTTCTAGTTTCAAAGGAAAAGGCTCTACTACATTTGGAGTTAAAGCTTAGTATTTGTAATTAGCCCCAATGGCTCAAATTACACATTCCCGGTAAACATCCAATGTAATTGAAGTTTGTTCTTAGATCAAAAAATTTCTGTCAAAACCAAAATACATACATATATATGGGAAACAAGCAAAATACCCAAGTGGTTTGTGGCAAACTGTAACTCTATGTTGTCTTTAGACAGCTTGAAAGGGGGTGCCATTATACCTGCATTATTACTAACACCAGAGAGGCTATATCAAATAACAGAAAAATCGATAAAATAAAACATACACACAATTCATATATTCTTCAACTAATTATTAAGAAAAAAAAAAACCTTTGAGGTTCAATCTAATTTCATAAAGTTTAACTAATTCAAGTTATTTTGTGAATACAATTTTCAAAACTATCCAAGAGTTTGGGGGATTTTACAATAAAAACACAGAGGCTCGAGAACTACACAAAAAAAATCCCTTGTCGTTTGATTCTTTCTTACATTTTGCCTCTTCAAAACCAAAATTAAAAGAAAACAAAAATCACACAAAAAGGGGTAGTTTATGAGTAAATATGCCTTACTTACATCAAAATGTTCAATGGGCGACCAGAGGAAGTAAACTCTGATGCAAATTTTCTAACAGATACCAATGAGCTCAGATCTAACTCCATTGCATCAACTTTAGCTTTAGGAATTTCCTTAATTATGGTTTCTTTGACTTTTTTTCCTGCAGCCATATTCCTAATACCCATCACGACATGTACACCGCGTAAAGCAAGAACACGAGCAGTCTCGGAACCAATCCCACTCGATGCCCCTGCAATGTGAGTTCCACTTATTAGACTTGATTCCAAATGGATGAATAATTAAAACATGCTTACTTCATTTACATGTTTGTTAGCTACTGGCCACATGTAAAGCACCTCCGAAAAATTAAGATAAAGATTTGATTGGCACATTTTTACCCTTTACCTTAGATCATACCCCATTTGCAAGGATAAGATTGTAGAATGAAGGTTCAGTTATCACATTTCACAATCACTTGCATGAACACGTTCTTTGAGATATGCATTGAATCGAACATGTCAACCATTTCTGGAGTACTTCATGCAACTATATTAATCGAAATAAATAAGGCTGTTGTAAATAGAGAAAAATTATATCCTATACCCCTCACTGGGAGTTTTTTTTTTTAATCTTTTTTAAACAACTCTTACACATTATCAGCATAAGAAGCATACAAATTTGAACTAGCAGACATGCAAACAATTAAGAATGATTACAATTGATGCTGAACAGTTAACGAAAAAGCTTAAGGACTCGACATTTCCTTAACTTTCTTTTTGTTTGTTGAAACTAAATCCAAAACAAGCAACCAATATGTATAAACCATTAAATGTCATGAGCACACTTTAACTTTTCGTAAGGTCTTCAACACACTATACTAAACAACACTGATACAATATGTGCTCATGAATATCCAAGAAAATAAAACAAATGAATCTGGAAGCGACTTGAGCATCTATTGAATTATCAAACAGAATATAATATGCGAATACACAGAATTAAACCATCCACCTAACTGAACATAGGGCCAACAACAAACAATTCTCAAAGTTGAAGTTTCCATGTCACATTTCTGCCTAAATACTTCAGTTATTATTTTATTTGTTTTTTCTCAACTATATTAGACGGCAGGAGCATACGGCGAATAACAAAACCTTAATAACAAAACCTTAACGAAAGGGGGAAAAAACAAAATTAAGTGTATAAATCTCGAACCTGTAACAATGGCGGTGAGAGCAGAGCCGTCAATCCCATTGGTAACTTCCTCGGCAGTGGAGGATGAAGAAAATCCAGAAGGCCCTTTTCTTCTGAAAAGCCACATCGATCTCCTTGGTTATTTTACTCTCGCTCAAGCTATTTTCTGAGTGAAAAAGATTGGG